AACGATTTTGTACTAAAAGCTTAATGGTACCCTGTTTTTTATCTGTCATAGATAAACAATAAAAGCCCAAACACCCAACGAAATGTTTGCGCAACTATTACCCATCCTGAAGGATTTTCAGGATCGCAAAGGCTAGTTTATGGCCAGTGGGACAAACTTCTGGTCGCAAGGGATGAAAACAATGAGGATCGGTGCATATGGATAGCTTGTAAGTCATAAAACACTTTCTACTGATAGATTTTTCAGTAGTTGTATTTTCTGTCTCCTTGAAGATCCAATGCCAGCGAATGCACAATTCTTCTACGGCTTCACGCAATTTGCCATAGAGTTAAATGAGCCACCTGCACAAGATGCTGTCTCATCTGGCCGTCTACCGATAACAGATAGTAGACGGCGACCAGATATTCGACTCCTTGAGTTGGGTCGAGTTGAGGAAGCGGAAGCTGAGAATAAGAGGATGGAAGATGAACAACGTCGAAGGCTAAGGAGCTATAACTCGAAAGAGTTAGACCTAACCACTGCGTGGAAGCCACTATGGTTCACGTAAGCTCAAATTTCTGAAAGATCATTAAAATGTTCTACGGGCATTTGGTATTTCAGTTAGGGTTTTCGAGTTGAATTTTGAATACGAGTTGTGCAAGCTGATAATGATTGAGAGCGTAGAGGAAGAGGGTGCAAGAAGGGGAAAATGTATTAGGGCTCTGGGAAAAATTAGAATTAGATACGCCTCAATGGGCCTGCATCGTGCCTGTATCGTGTGATATGGAATTCACAATCTTGAATTTGTAGAGCCTTTCGCCTGGCAAGTAGTTGTAGTGGAGGAAATTTACAAGTTAAACGCGCAAAATTAACTGCAAGAGGAGGAAGAGACTAAGAGACAAGCAGTGAGGTATAGAGAACTGTTCTAGAAAAAACCCATGGAAGGGATGGGGAATACAAATTGCAATTACAGGGTTCGAAGCGAATTCAGAGAATGGAAAGTGGGACTCGATATGCAGGACTTAGTAAAACAATAGGGGAAGTTAGAGAATTGGCTAACGATTGGCATGTTGTGACGGCATTGTCCAAATATATTTAATTACTTTAACCCATTCGCCCTTTCAGACGCAGACCCAAAGCAACGGAAAATGGGCCCAACTTTGAGTTTAATTCTACTTACTGGCGATATCAAGAATCGGGGGGCTTCAAAGACTTGAATTTGCCTCTCCTCTGGTAGATGACCGAGTAACCCCCCTCCCCCTCCTCCTCCTCCTCACTATCTCCTCTTGCCTTACCAAAACCTCTCCTTCAAAGACTACCTTTTTAGCAAATAAAGATTGATTTTTGAATTCGTATTAGGATCTGAATAATCAAGGTTATTTTTACTGAATGCAAACTTTTGATATTGTTAAGGAGATTAATGGTGCTCTGTTAAATGCCTTCACTAAAATGTTAGTCGCATGAAGTCACCATGGAGCAAATGAAATTTTCCTAACCACCGATCTATAAATGACCTTGCAAACAAAACATGAGGACAATAATAAAAGTGGGGAGAAAATGCACATTAAGAGGAAAATTAAGACGGTGTCAAACTGAAAAGGTTCAATGACATGAACAAAAAGTACAGTATAATATATGGTCAACGCATAGGAAAATGAAAAGAAGGCATACGCCAGAGAGTTCTAAGTGAAGGACGTGGAAAGAGTTAATGTGCAAAAGGGCATATCTCAGTTATCCAAAATCAATTAGTGAATTGAAATTTTTGCTACTATCGATGTCATTATTACAACTCTTCAGTGGTATTGAAGTTGGCACAAATGAAATTTGATGGAGACCATATAACTTTTTCCTGCTTAACTTTGTCAAGACTATCCCAGGAGAGCTAGTCTACCAGAGAATAATAATGAAGAGGCTGGCTATAACATTGCAAAGATAATAATTAACACACAATTGGACAGATCCGGCCAAGTGCCTCGATATAGAGTGTGCAGACATCTCACGAATATAAACGCGCACGAGGAGAACAGTATGATGTAGGTTCAACGCTCAAGAGAATTTTGAGTAATCAGATATTGATCAGTAGGTGAAAGAATACTCTAGACTCCAAATTCTCATCGTCGTTAACCTACCTCTATGTCATTACCCTGGATAGGTCACGACATGGCGAGGTAAGCCATCATTTATCGATTGGCCATTCGTCTATCAGCAAATGGTGGACAAAGATTAGTTCAACCTTCTTAGCCAATCATTATTGGAAGAAGTCCTATAGCAAGAGCAAAAATGGAACCTTTCATTCATCAATAAATTTTGGATAATTAATAAGGCATTTATCCAAGGTAAGGCGAAAACTTTGTAATTTATAACCACGAAGAATGCTTTAGTACAAGAGGGTAAAAAATCGATTGAAGGAATAACAAAGAGTATTTGAGATAAATTGGAAATCATAGCCTTCCTGTGTCTTATGCCAAACTCGTCAGATCATCCACTCTATTCTTTCCTATCACGATGTTCCAAAATATTTCTGTGTGGCAATTTTTGAACAATCTCATAGTCAGCCATTTTTCACCTGTCTCCAGTTACAATTGTCTATTAGGCGAGAAAGTCACCCAGGTTATGACATTTTTAAAATTATCACCACCACAGCTGCTCACTTTGTAATGGCCTACTACAACTCAGATCCTGAAAGGTGGAGGAGGAATTCTCAGAGGTTAAACCATGATTTAGATGTGCAAAATAAACTTGTTATATGGAAATGGATATGGGATAAATGATTGGCTGAATGACTGAGTAGAATTTTCAATGATGGACGAACGAAGCTCTGACAGTTGGAGCGTAGGAGTTCGAACATAGATACATGAGAAATGAACTTTGGAATAGGGAACTTTTAGTGCACTCAATCAAATCCGCTAAAAAGATACCTGATTTGACTTTCTAACGGCATGGTTGTAGGTGACTTCCCAACTCGCACACATTTACGAAAGGCCCAAGAGACAATCTCTTTCTGACCTCATCCTCTGCGCATTTATCTCAGGCTCCATAAGCCATCTCATTAAATGGGGAACTTTAGTTGTTGTTATTACTCTCGATAATTGAGAATTTTTAGATCTGTGTCTCAACTTGTATTTCTTGTATATTACACAGGCACAATATCATTCACTGATCTGGATCCTGAACAGCGCGCAGTTTATTGTCACCAATACTACGGTAGAGAATGGGAGATAGAGTGCAAAAAGGGAACAGGCTCGATGAATTTTTCAGTTAGTTTTGAGGGTTAATTGAAAGTACTCCCAAACTTCGAACTGGTCTAAACACCAATATCTGGGCTTTTTCCTTCGTGATAAGACTAATAACTTCATTAGAAATACTGTTATCATTCACAGGAGAGCCTACGTATAATTGAATTACATAAAATTACCGTAAAACGGGGTTAACTGAGTTCCAAAAAAATTGGAAGGTGTGTCTTGACGTAACTCATCCGAGTATAAACAATAGATCTATTATTTCAATAAGGAAGAAATGTAGGGCAGAAACATACTTTCGTCAACAATTAAGTTCAACTTTCTGGCGCTGCATGCACAAGAAAATTTCATTTCCAGACAAAATACTTTGAAAATTGAATTAAATGTAATTTTCCAGGTTTAAATTAATACACGATTAATGGTTTAACAAAGTTAATAATCTAAATTTTGGAGTCTACGCTGTATCATAGTTTGATTAAGTATGCAAGATATGAAACAACTCTTATCCATTTCGACTAATTTTCTCTATATTTTTACTATCCCATATCACCAATACTAAGTAAAACACATTTTTTGTTTTGAATTTCAGGTTGTTCAGTAACATGAGAGTCGCAATGTCAGCGAAATTAAACTCCAACTCTCCAAACATATGATTAATTGGAGCTTCTTGCAATCAACATAGGTTAAATAGATTATGCTTTTATTAGTAATCATCATCAGTATCTGAAGCTCTTAGCTTCGTCGGCAAAATTTAGTTTAAATTTTTTTATAACCCTACTTGAAGTAAATAATCGAATAAATTATTGCAGATTTTAGACTGATTTAAGTAAAAGGCAATTACTTGTACATTTATTTAATGTACTTAGTCTTGACGAAAAAATCCTGTAAATGTTTAATTGAAATAAGTAAATTATAATGATGCAAAATGTTGCTATTTTAAAGAAAAATTCCAGTTATAAATTTATTTATTACTTTTTCTGTGAAAAGAGCATCACTTTTTTAGACGCATTTGTAAAGTAACTCAAGAAACAATTTTGTGATCACTAAATCCGATAGCAATGTATTGCAAAAGATTAAAAAAACTATATATAAGAATTTTAATGTTAAATATTTTATTAATGTCAGAATCATTTGCAGTGAATGTGAGTTTCATAATCAATCATTATGTGCGATCTTCTGTCGAGGTGACTTGACCAGAGTTGAATAGATCCGTCTGAAACGCCTTTTGGAGACCTCGGGTGCTGGAGTGAATTAAAAATCAATATGTTAATTAAAGATCCTGCAAGAATAACTCGCGAATGTTTGCCAATTACCGATTTCAACATCTGAATCCAAGGGGATTAATCGATAAGCTTCCATTTCCCCATTTGAATCGCCAAAGTAGACGACCGGACTCGCTGAAGAGGAGATTGCCACAACTGCAAGTATAACGACAAAAGGAAAGAACTTGTTGGTGGATTTCGCGTACATGTCTGCGTTGAGTTATTCTAGAATAAATAAAAATAAAACAAAAAAATAGAGTTGCAAGAAATTACGTGAAACGAAAAAAATTGGAAATTTTTATAACATACAAATACAAAAGTATTTGAATTTTAATGAGTTAAGTTAATTTAATTCATTAGCTAAGAGTTTTAAAACAATATCAAATGTTATTTTAGTTTTATAAATAGTATTCTAGCTGACTTATTAAATAATGATGATAAAAGTAATCACTTACTTTAGAAATGGTTTCTTAAATATCTAATAACCAACCACTTAAATGAAAGTAAAATTTAATTGGTTAACGCAAATGGGAACGCAAGTTTGAATCAAGGGTTGCCAAGGTATCCAAGAGAAAATTCGATGTTCATGGAGCCGGTGGAAATAAAAATTTATTTTGCTTTTTAATTACTTTTGTAATTTCCTTATTGTGTGAACAACTTTTGAGCAATTGGCAATTGGGTGGAGGTCAATTAGGCGGTCTTTTTATTCCTCTTTTGAAGTAGACACAATAAAGTTAATTGAGTCCTGCTTAGCTAAAATTATATATTGTTTTTAAGTTTGATAATATTCCCATGATAAGGCAGATCAAATGTGAAATTTCATAAATTTGAGAGATTTAAATCCAATGGCAGGTATTTTGATGGCTGTCATTAGCCCTTTAGTTGACTTCAGGCTTCACAGAGGAGAAGGAGCATCAAAGTGAGAAAAATTCGAAAGGGGGAGCAGAAGAGAGATTCAAAGATGTAAAAGAGACAGACACAAAGGTAGAAAAAAAGTTGAGGTGAGTACTGTGGAAGTATCGAATATGACATACAGTGGGGTCATGGCAGTTTGAAGTCAGAAGTCAACTGCCGGTTTATAGACTTTTTTGCCGTTTGAGTATACGTTGCCCAGGGTGTACCACGTTGAGGTAAGTCTATCGCGTACCCCTAAATTTGAGAGATTAGTGTTGAGATTTATGCTTACTTTAGAGATTGCCCACCTATTGCCCGAAAAACGGGTTTTTTATGGAATGCTATTGACCTGTGTGCATAAGTCATTTTCTCAACAGACAAAAACTCATTCTTGAAAGTGCAGCACTAAATGTGAGACCGAGTGATTACAGAATTGCTTTAAGGACTATGAACTTTACGCTTGATTGCCGTAAAATTCTTTGTTCAAAATTGAAGCATGGTCGTAAATGTGTTTTGGCAGCCAATCCAAGCGATACTATTTCTAATTATATTAAATCGTATTCCCATAGAAGTTGA